TCTATGTTAAAAGCACAAAAGTGTGCCCTGGCTGGTTTGTCTCAGTGAATAGAGCGTCGGCCTGCGGACTGAAGGGTCCCGGGTTCGATTCCAGTCAAGGGCACATTCCTGGGTTGCGGGCTCAATACCCAGTGGGGGGCGTGCAGGAGGCAGCCAATCAATGATTCCCTCTCATCATTGCTATTTCTATCTTTCTCTCCCTCTCCCTTCCTCTCTGAAATCAATAAAAATATATATTTTTTAAAAAGCACAAAAATGTGTTAGATTTCTCAAAAACACACTGGACAAAAATATCTCAAGACAGAGTATACCAATCTTGAAGATAGCACTACAAGAAAATTCCTTCTAAAACATGTAATACTTAACATATTCACTGTATTTATTTGGGGATTTAAAGCAACAACCAAAAGAGCACTTTTACCTCAAAACAAATGTCACAATAAAATTTAAAAAATTTTTGTGACTAATAGAACATAACAAGCTTAAAAGTTTACTTCATTTTATTTTATTTTATTTTTTTAAAATACATTTTATTGATTTTTTACAGAGAGGAAGGGAGAGAGATAGAGAGTCAGAAACATCGAGGAGAGAGAAACATCGATCAGCTGCCTCCCGCACATCTCCCACTGGGGATATGCCCGAAACCCAGGCACATGCCCTTGACCGGAATCGAACCCGGGACCCTTCAGTCCGCAGGCCGACGCTCTATCCACCGAGCCAAACCGGTTTCGGCAAAAGTTTACTTCATTTTAAAAAAATTATTATGCTTTAAAAATCAGTTAAAATTTTAAGCATCATTACTTCTTGTTGTTAATTCTCACCTGAGGACATTTTTCCCACTGAGAGAGAGTGGGAGGGAGGGAGGATGTGAGAGACACATCCACTGGTTGCAGAGGCAACCTTCTGCAACCACCCGGACCAAGGACCAGCTGACCAAATAGGGCCAGGGAGCGAGTCCAAAACCAGGTTCTTGCCTCTGTCCATAATCAAACCTGGAACTCTTTGGTTTGATGCTCTAACCATTGAACCCTCCAGCCAGGGCTAAGCATCATTACTTTTAAGCTGTACTGTCAGAAGCATAACTACAGTGATTCCCCGCCTTTTTATTTAATTTATTGGGGGTGACACTGGTTGTTAACAAAATTATACAGGGTGCAGGTGCACAATTCCACAACATCTGTACACTGTATTGTGTGTTCACCACCTCAAGTCTTCTTCCATCAACATTATACACTCCACCTCCTTACATCAAGTATAAATATGTTCGGTAAGAGCTAATAAATGGCATAAATTCCTCTACAAGGCTGTTGTCATTACAATAGGGAAATTGGGAGCATGGAAAAAATTTAAGTCCAAATTAATCAATACTAAATATCTTTTGAATTGCAATTTTTTTAAAGCGAAATACCAATCATGGGCAGCCTGTCAACTTTCATCACACAAGACATTAAGTTGTAAGAAATTAGCGAATTTTTTAGTACTACTGATTACTAGGAGGTTCCCTAAGAGAAAACTTACTATATAGTAACAGGAAGTTCTTCTGGTATAAAATCAGAAGTATATTTTAATAACACTTTTTAACGTTACTAACATCTTTTCTTAAAGGCAGGAATCATGGAAATGCTGAGCATTTAAAATTAGTAGTTTTAAAATGATACTCAAAAATTTGCATTTGCCTAACACTTACCATGAAACTTTAAAGGTTAAAGTCTCCAACATGCTTTCTTTCTTTTTTTTTTTTTTTAAACACACATTGAAAAAAAGAGAAGAAAAAGGAAATGAAAGAAAGAAAAGGGAAAGGAAATTTAAATCTAAAACACCTTCAACTTCCTACATTTCTTTTAACCAAAGGTTAACAGAGTTCCTAACAGGCCAGGCACTATTTGGGAATTGTGACAAATTACAACATGTATTCCAAATAAAATCCTGTGTTATTCAGCTTCTGAATGTATTACCTATTATTTAACCCAACATTTTTCTTAACAATCTCACTTGTCACTGTTTTACACAGGTCACAGGCGTCAGTCACACCTGTGACTAACAAAAAGGGATTCCTTTATGAAACATCCCTGACTGCCTTTTTGTTTACAGGAAGGTGAGCTAGGAATCCAGCAGATACACACCTTTTAGGTGTTTAAAGCACCTCAAACTCAAGAAGAAAGAGCCTAAAAAAATCACGGATTGAACATAATTCCTTTGTATAGCTGATACACATTTCAGCAGCCACTGCTTTTTCTTTCTGCCACAAACACAAGCCTTACAATTTTTAAAAACACTCCTGACTCTGAAGAAAAGCGAAGTAAACGTGTTTAAAAATAGTTCAAAGGAACTGTCAAAAGTGGACGGCGTTTACACTTGGACTACCTGCGGCACTTCTGTCCTCGCGCACACACTCTCCCTGCTCCACGCGCACTTCCGAACGTGGATGTAAATACCTGCGGCCCCAGTCCCACCAGTTGAACCTGGACACCCAGGGGCCCAAGGCTTTTCTCCGAAACTGTTTAACAACATCACAGCGTCCAATCACACCGTCTCCACGCGGAACAAACAGCCTGCACTGGTACTGCTGTCACTTCTCCCACCAATTAAGCGAATTCCACTTCTCGGACACTATCCTCCTCCAGTTCACACGTTCACATTTAGGAGGAACCTGGCCATCGGTGTCATCGCAGAGCAACACTACACCTGACAATTCCCAGACCAGATGCAGTGCAACAAAGACGTACACACCGAGCCCTCCTAAATCCCTGGAAATGCCAGGAACAGGTGCCACCTCCGAGCTGTGCAAAGATCATCAAAATCCTCTTTCAAAAGAATCTTTGCGTCAAGATGCTATTTTCGTGGCCAATCAAGTAGGTCTGCTAAAAGCTCAGGGCACGGTTAACACCATCAATGGGGTTTCCTTACATCCGTGTAACCGCTAGAACCCCAATGCAGTTCAGGTTCTCGAGTCGGATTACGTGACCTGCTTTTTCTGCTTTACCCTTAGAAACACCCTCCTGCAGGCAATTATCCCCTCTCGTTTCCGGCAAAAAGAGGCGCCCGAAACACGGGACAGCTATCCTCCCTGCGAGATCCCCAAACTGGCTCCAACTCCTCGGCACCGCGCACCGACAACCGCCCCACTAACTCTCGTCCCCCCACGAAAAGGGCTCGCACCCCAAGCCCAAGCCCAGCGCTCCGAGGGCCCAGCGCACGCCCTCGACCCGACCCCTCGCTTCCTGGATTCTGCGGCCCCAGAGGTTCCTCTTCCGCAGCGATCTTACCTTCATGGTGATGCCGGGACCGCGGCGCCCTCCAAAACACCAGATTCACCTGCACCTGGGGGGACACAAAAGGCACCGTCACCGCCACGGGCACCCCCGGCCCCGGCCCCCCCTCCCTGCGCGGGCGGAGGCGGAGAGAGACCGCCGGGCCGCGAGAGGCCGATGCGGGGCTCGCCTGGCCTCGCCACCGCACACCCCGCCACCCACCCACCCGGCTCGGCAGCTCAGCGTCCCCATTGTCGGGACCCGCCGGAGTTTCCCGGCTCCGACAATGACGCCATTTCTGTCAAAGAAGAAACTCACAACAAGCCGGGCCGGCCGGGCCTCTGCGCTCCCCGCTTCCGAGGGACCTGCCCGCCCCGGGCCGCTGCCCACGTCCCGTCCCGAGGCGGGGACGGACCGACCGACAGGACGAGCGGACTCCGTGGACCGGTCGCGGGGACAGGGGACAAGAGGAGAGGCCGGAGGCGGCTCAGCGACTCCGCGCTCGCCGGGCCGCCGCCGGGGCCCTCGCCGACCCCGGGAGCGCGGCCGCCAGGCCCGGGCGACCGCGGGGGGGGCGGGGGCGCCGCAGGCTGAGGCCAAGGGTTCGGGCGCCCGGCGAGCCCACCGCGGCGATCCTCCCGCGCGTTGGCCGGGCCCGGGGACTCCCCGAAGGACCCCCCGACGAGCCCGCGGACGCCTCCGAAATGCCCTACCTTCGTCGGAGGCCAGCGCCGAGCTCAGCGCGTCCAGGGTCCCCTCCCCGGCTCCCCCCCCAAACCAGCAGGCCCGGGGGAGAGATGGGGAGACGCGCGGCGCGTCCAGCGGGGCCGAGGCTGAGGCTCCGGCTCCTCCTCCTCCCGCGGCGGCGACTGGTACCTTTGTTTGGCGGCCGCTCGGGTTCCCTCGCTGGGGGGAGGGGGACGACGAAAAACCCTCCCGGACGGGAGCCCGGGCCCCCGTCGCGCTGCCTCCCAGAGGACGGCGGCCACAGACCCTCCTGCGGCTCGCTCCGGGGAGAGGTCCAGGCGGCGGCCGTGGCGGCGGCCAGCTAAGCTTCAGAGACTCCTCCGCTCCGGCGCCCAAGCTGCTCACTCCGGACTCGACTGACGGGCAAACATCGCTCCCCCCGCCCGAGCCCCCCCGCTTCCCTCCGCTCTCCACTCCCCTAAGCTGTCTCCCCTCCCCTACCTCTTTCCCGGATGGCCTCTGAGACGACCGCGGATTGGCCAGGGTGTCTTAGAACCCGCCCACACTTCGTTGTTATTGGCCCTTGGGATACAAACAACGACGCCATTTTCCCACCAGTTCTATGGAAACAGAAAGTGACGCCCCAAAGCCTACCGGGAAATGTAGTCCGACCCGGGGCGCCCGGGTGCGAGCCCTCGCCCGCGAGAACTGCAAGACCCGCAACGCCCCGCGCTTGCGTGAGACGGAGGTGGGGGGGGGGGGGGAAAGGGGCGGGCGACTGTGCAGGGAGGTGGTGGCGGCGCCTGCGCAGTGGGACCGAGATGGCGCATTTTCTTGCACAGAATAATGCGGCGGCGCTGGCGGCCGAGGAGGGCGGAGAGTTTCTTGATGAAGTAGGGGGAGGGATTCATGGAAGCGTCGGGAGGAGCCCGGGTGTGAGCTATAAAGTGGGAAGTTGATGCGGGGCCCAGCTACTCCCGGACCGGTGGCGCGGAAGCTGTGATCTCATCGCTGAACCGTGAGCGGCAGTGGTGGCGGCAGGCGGGGTGGGGGGGACCGGATGGGCAGGAGGGCGGGGTCTGGAGGAAAGAAAGAAGGATGGTGAGGCCCCGGATGCTGAACCTGATTGGGTCCGAACGTTCTGCGTCCCCTCGCGGGCGGGCGAAGGGGAAGAACTGGAGGGGGCCCCGGATCGGGGCGGAAAGGGGCATCGGAGCGGAGAGGAAGCGGAGCCTCGCGGGCACGGCGACCCTGCAGGCGGAGCGGATGCTGGAGGCTCCCGGCCCCGCCGCGGTGGAAAGTCGGCCTCGGAGTTGTTGTTCAACCCCCAGCCCGCTTCTCGGGTCGTTCTCTGCAGACCCGTCGTCGGCCGGAAAGGTTGCCTGCGCTTCCGAGCTGCGCTGACATTTGTAGGTCTCTCTGTAGCCATTCTGACACCAGATCCTTCCCTTGATCTTTTCTTTTTTTTTTTTTTTTTTCGTGCGCAAATGTGCGCGCCCCGATTTCACCGTCGAACGCGTTAGAAAGCAATCTCCGTCCGCTCGTTCAGTCCCCGTACTCGCTGAACGGCTACCGGGCGGAGGAACGGGTCCGGCTCCTGCCTGGGTGGACCTCAGCCTCGTGGGAGAGGTGGTGGTAATTTGCACGCACAGGCGGGTGCGGAAGGGCAGCAGCGGCGAATGCTGGCTGCACGGTGACAGGGGACCGTGCGGTTAGGGACCTCGGGGAGGGCTTTACCGAGCCCGGGAGGATCGACCTAGGAGGTGAGGGGTTGGCTGCGGGTAACTAAGGAAAGAACATGTCAGACCTAAAGAAGAGCAGGCTGGAAAGCCTTCTGTCAAACGGGAGCTTTTGAAATACGGGGAACTGGGGCCGGCGGAGCAGGGACCCAGATCCTTACACACCGTGTTAAGAAGCTTGGGGTTTGTTTGTTTTTCCAGTGGAAAGAGAGATAAGACTTACCTTCGAAAGATTGCAGTTTTACAAAGATCACTAGCTCATGCAGGGAACCTAGCTAGGAAGTTATTGCAATAGTCACACGGAGGAGAGAATATGTTTTTGTATTTGTCATTCATCCATTGTTTGAATAAGTTCAAAGCAGTTTGCGTTTTGAAATTGAGTAGTTTCGGACTCACCTAGTCATTCTGTAGTATTCATCAACCTAAAAGTAAATTAATAGAGCTACAGCCTGGTGTGCTAATTTTTTTTTTTATTGTTTTACCTACATATTCAAGAGTAGGCTACAGAAAACACACTTTTCAATTCTTAAGTATGTTTTTTTAATTGATTTTTGGAAAGAGGAGGAGTGCGAGGGTGAGAGAGAGAAACATCTGTTGCCCTCCACCCCCACCCCTACAGCTGATGGAGTCTGCAACCTGGGCATGTGCCCTGAGGAGGATTCAAAGCTGCAACCTTTCTATGCAGGGGAGGAAGATCAGCTGAGCCACACGGACAGGCCAGGGCATGCACTTTCCAGTTCTTTAAGTTCATAATCCTAAAGACAAAAAATCGTTGTCCAAAGAATCAAAAGAAAGCAGATAAAGGGGGAAAACCTGAAATGTGCCAAAGATGTCAGAGCAATTAGAAAACTCCTGATGTGGGGACAAATAAAAATAGATTTTTACTGCACAGAAGAGTAGAGATTCAGTAGTGAAGGAGGATTCTAGGAAGACCATGAGTGATACGCTAGGAAATATCGAAGTAAATGTAAATTTAAGAAGAATAAAGGAAGGGAATATATTTTTTTTAATATATTTTATTGATTTTTTTACAGAGAGGAAGGGAGAGAGAGAGAGAGTTAGAAACATCGATGAGAAAGAAACATCGATCAGCTGCCTCCTGCACATCTCCTACTGGGGATGTGCCCGCAACCCAGGTACATGCCCTTGACCGGAATCGAACCTGGGACCTTTCAGTCCGCAGGCCGACGCTCTATCCACTGAGCCAAACCGGTTTCGGCAGGAATATTTTTAATAATGCATGTCTTGTCTTAAATCCGAATCTCTGAAATGGACTGATTGTAGTGAAAATACAGGAGGGAAGTCTCCCCTTAAATTATATATAGTATATAAAACATTTTAATATCCATAGAAACAAGTATGTTTACTAATTTGTATAATCAATTATATATAGAAGAATCTAAATCTGTGGGTTTGTTTTAACATTGATTTGACAATATAAGCCTTTCACGGTTGAGTAAATATAAAAGGTTTAATATAAGTTTTATTCCTTAAAATCCAGGTGAACACTGACCAATCACTTGAATGAAAACTTTCCCTTTTTTTTAATGCGATATAATTGATATGTCATAGTTCACCCGTGTAAAGTATACAATTAGGTGGGTTTTAGTGTACTCACGGAGCTGTACAACCACCACCACAATCTAATTTTTGAACATTTTGTTGGCCCCCAGAAGAAATATCGCACTCATTAGTAGTCACTCCCTAGCCCCCCTACCCTGACGTTACCTAGGCAATTGTCAATCTACTTTCGGCCTCTATAGATTTGCCTGTTTTGAATAGTTCATGTAAATGGAAAAGTGCAATATGTAGTCTTTTTTGACTGGCTTCTGTCACTGAGCATAATGTTCTCAAGATTTCATACCCTTAGAATTTTCTTTTAAGATGAAACAAAGTCTGGCTTTACAAATTCCTTGAGATACAAATTCCTTTGCAGTTTGACACGCAAAGATAATTTAATTAATGAGATCACATTTATGATTCTCTTTTTTAACAGATCATCTTTGAAATCCAACAACAATGGAGAAGACTCAAGAAAAAGTCCAAAGAATTCTTCTAGAACCCTACAAGTACTTGCTTCAGTTACCAGGTATTATTTTATTTTTTTATTGTTTCACCTACATACTCAAGAGTACACTACAAAAATCACACTTTTCAATTCTTAAATATTTCTTTAATTGATTTTTAGGGAGAGGGTGAGAAACATCTATTGCCACCCACACCAGACAGGGTTGGCTTTACATAGTAGTGGTCATTTGAATGTTAGAATTCAGAAAAGGTTTGCCAGCTATTGAGATTTTTATATTTAAGGTCATGCGTATGAGAAAAGTGATGATTTGTTATTAAAAGGGACATTTTTGAGGTACCCTTAAAAAATATGCAAGTATATAACCTACCTAAAAATTAAAAATTCTTAAAACATTTGAGTACCTTTTTGGAGGTTTTATTATTTACGGATGCCACACTTTCCTCTTCCCTACTAGATTAAGGAAAGCTGTGCCAATTTGTGCACCAACAAAAAGCTTCAGTTACATTCCATGCTCATGTTTCCACCATCACATGCACTCTCCATTTCTCACACTACCAGTTTCTTTAACAGCCAAATAGTCATGCATCTAAATCACATTACTTAAAAGCATAACCCCCATTATTCCTATATAAAGATGGGCCACCTGGTCATGGCTTCCTACAGTTACACTTGCCTAATCATGTTTATGTGTATGTACATGTTTTGATATTTTTTTAACTTTGGAAAAATGATGATAGTAAAAATTCAGAAATATAACAACTGTAAGTTCTTAGGATAAAATTCACTTATAAACCAGTTACTTGGACCTGAAATACCCCTTCTCATAGAAAAGGGAATACTTCAGGCCATGGCAGTGTTACTTCTTGGTAGGAAAGCGGCAGAGCTGTCCATTCTCTGAAACTTTAATTTAAAGGAATGCTAGATAAGTTTAAGAGGTAATTGTATGAGGTAATTCAATAGCAATGTACATTTCATTAAAAATACCTATGTTCTCAACAACAACAACAAAAATGCCTATGGTCTCTGAAATTGACAGTGCTAATTAACTCCCACTAACTAGGCTGGCATCCTTTCAAAAGGAATGAATTAGATCATAATTCCTATTCCCCCATTCCATTCCAAAACTGTTGATACAAGTTAAGATGAAAGTGATGGGCTGCTGAAGGATTTAGAACCTCTTTTGCCTGCCCTGATGCTAAGGTTGCGGGGTTTAGAGTGTGAATTTTGACAGAAGGGGCCAGTAGGGGCCCAGCACTGGAAGCTCTCCAATGGGTAATGGATTGATGGGGTTGGATTTATCAAGTCTGATCTGTTTTAGAGTAAATTTCTGAAATGTTTTTTATAATTAAAGTGTTAACTTTATCGCCAAATTTTATTCTTTAATTGCAGGTAAGCAAGTGAGAACCAAACTTTCACAGGCATTTAATCATTGGCTAAAAGTTCCAGACGACAAGCTTCAGGTATCTAGGCAATTCCCATCCCCCCCCCCCCCCCCCCCATTTTTGGTGGGTTTTTTTGCTTTGGGTAGAGAGTGAGAGAGAAACATTGTTTTGTATACTTTATGCCTCCATTGGTTGATTCTTGTATGCACCCAGGCTGGGATGGTGTATCGGGACGATGCCCTAACGAACTAGTCTACCTACCCAGGGCCTCTAACCTCATTCTTAATCCCCAAGAAATTTATGACGTCACGTAGAAATACTCCTAGCTCTTAATTCTGTTTAATGCTCATGTAATCTATTGTTTTCATATTGAGGTTGCTAAATAATTACTACTTTTAAAAACTAAGGCACCTGAGACCATCATAATCTGTTAATATAGTAGTTCAGATATGAAAAAAATGAACTTTTCAATTGTTCTTTTTGTTAGATTATCATTGAAGTGACGGAAATGTTGCATAATGCCAGTTTGCTCATCGATGATATCGAAGACAACTCGAAGCTCCGACGTGGCTTTCCGGTGGCACACAGCATCTATGGGATTCCGTCTGTCATCAATTCTGCCAATTATGTATATTTTCTTGGCCTAGAGAAGGTCTTAACTCTTGATCACCCCGATGCAGTAAAGCTTTTTACGCGCCAGCTCTTGGAACTCCATCAGGGACAAGGCCTGGATATTTATTGGCGGGATAGCTACACCTGTCCCACGGAAGAAGAATATAAAGCTATGGTGCAGCAGAAGACAGGCGGACTGTTTGGATTAGCGGTGGGTCTCATGCAGTTGTTCTCTGATTACAAAGAAGATTTAAAGTCACTACTTGATACCCTTGGGCTCTTTTTCCAAATTAGAGATGATTATGCTAATCTACACTCCAAAGAATATAGTGAAAACAAAAGCTTCTGTGAAGATCTCACGGAGGGAAAGTTCTCGTTCCCTACTATTCATGCCATTTGGTTGAAGCCTGAAAGCACACAGGTGCAGAACATCTTGCGCCAGAGAACCGAAAACGTAGACATTAAAAAATACTGTGTACATTACCTTGAGAATGTGGGTTCTTTTGAATACACGCGGAATACTCTGAGAGAGCTCGAAGCTAAAGCCTACAAACAAATCGACGCGCTTGGTGGGAACCCTGAACTGGTAGCTCTAATAACGCACTTAAGTCAAATGTTCAAAGAAGAGAATTAGTCATATTAAGCCATTCTCGATTAGGCCTGACAGCTTATTTGAGTCGGTTATTTTTTTGTCTTCTAGCCTATCTTTTTATAAATTTGGAGCAAGCTGTTTGTCTCTAAGAACTGAGTGGACGGGGCGGTGCGGGGGAGGTGGTTTCCACGTAGAGCCACTCCGTAATCGTTGTACGGAACTGAAGGAACCGAGAGGAGTCACATTGAAATAGGTGCCATGTGAATGTCGCAGTGTGCGGTGTCGGGTCTCTGTGGCCAACTCTGCCATGAGTGTTTGATTGATTCTGTCAATAAAGAATTCGACTCCGTCTTCTCTGCACTGGGAGCAGCTCTCCTCTTCCCCTGAACGTGGCCGCCTGCGCCAAGTTGGTCTCCACCCCTCCTCCGACAGGAGCACCTCTGGGCTGCTGGGGGGGTCGCTGCGTGCAGTGGTGCTGAGACGACCGGACACACATAGGTGAGAGCCTCAGCAGCCTGCCAGCCCCACATCCCTGACCTCGCTTACTTCCAGCCGCAGCTTCCAAACCAGCACCATCTCAAGGGACATCGACGCAGCAGCCAGGTTCCTCGGGGCTGGGGCTGGGGCTGGGACTGTGTTTGGGAGCCTCCTCACTGTTATGCCGGGAACCCTTCTCTGAAGCAACAGCCCTTCAGTGCCATTCTGGGTTCTGCCCTCTCAGGCCATGGGGCTCATGCCTGATGGTGGCCTTGCTCTCCCTCTGCCATGTGACGTTGCTGTCTCCACCTCATATACCTTCTCCCGTGCCTGGTCTGCCCTGTATGTTCCTTTTCCTCCTCCCCAGGCAACCAGGGGAAAGTGGCTGGCTCAGGGTTTGACAGAGGGAAGACAGTAATAATAAGAAGAAAAAAAGCTTCTAGGAATATTGATACTTCTAACTATACTGTATGGGCAGTTCCCACTTCATCTACCCAGTTCCAAGCCAGTGGCTACTTGGGACCAGTTTCTATCGCTCGCTGGCCCATAGGCTATGGGAATTCCTCTTCCTAAATGTTGCTGCTTAGAGTATCGGTCTCCCCCTAGAAATTCCCGCCAAAGGCTCTCATGGGAAGGCTGACAGTGACAAACAGCACCAAGAAGTCTCCCCTCACATGCCGGCCCAAGTTGGTTGGTTGGTAAGTAACTGGTGCCCCCAAGCTGATTAGTATCTGGGCACAACGTCGTCTGTCCATTTGGAAAGAAAAAAAGTACATGGAGAAGTATTTTAAGAAGGAGGCTTTAAACCTTTGTCTATTTTCCCAGGGTTAGTAGTAAAAATCATAAAAGAGCAGTTTGCTCACAGCAGAAGGAAATGCCCTTTTCCTTCCCACGCACCACCCACTAGAAGGCAGTTGGTGCTTGAATGGAAAGGGAGCTGTGGGCCTCTTTAATCTCTGATTAAAGGAGAGTGTGAACCTGAGACCTAGTCGCCATGGCTACCCCATCAGGCACTAACTAGCCGTCCAGTGCCTTAACCCTGACTCCCTCTTGTGTAATTCCCAGCCCAAAACCCCTGGAGCCATCTGTGGCCAAGAGGTAGGAAAAGAGACCTGGGTTACTGTGTTAGACCTTGCTGAATCCCGAAATGAAAGTCGTGCTTCTCAGAAACGGTGCGTTTGGCGTGATTGGTTCTATAGGATGTTCTCTCAGATCTAATCACCAGCACCTGCACTTGCATGAGACCTTCTCACCAAAGCGCTCAAACCTTAAGATGGAGGACACCTCGCTCAGATTTTCAACAATAAAGATAAATTTCTTTTTTAAGTTGGGTACTGTCTTTACTAACTTTTATGAAAATTTGAATCTTCCATTTTAATTGATACAAGGGAACCTCTTAAAATCATGGGTATTTGTGCTACACTATGGGAATTTGAATTTTGTGGTTATGAATCCATAATTTAAAATGAAGAAAGTATTATTACTCAGAAAGACTTAATGCTAACTATATAGAGAAATTAAAATATGGCTCTCAGTTTTTTTTATGATTGCCATTACGATATCAAAAGCCTGATCTCCTCAAAGTCAGTCCTGTATCTGCTTCTTTACCTGAAATAACATAATTAATAGCAGCTTATTCTTTCTTCATGTCCCTCTACCAACCTAAATAATGGATGAAGTCGCTGGGACCGGTTTGGCTCAGTGGATAGAGCGTCGGCCTGCGGACTGAAAGGTCCCAGGTTCGATTCCGGTCAAGGGCATGTGCCTGGGTTGCGGGCATATCCCCAGTGGGAGATGTGCAGGAGGCAGCTGATCGATGTTTCTCTCTCATCGATGTTTCTAACTCTCTATCTCTCTCCCTTCCTCTCTGTAAAAAATCAATAAAATATATTTTAAAAAAATAATAATGGATGAAGTCACTTTTCCCCCAGCCCTTTTTTTAAACCACCATCTTCACTCTGTAAGTGACCCAGGAGTATGTCTTGGATTTCTTTCTTACCCTTGCCTCCTATATCTATTTAGTCCTCCCAAGCCCTATAGCTTTGTCCTTTGAGATGTCTATCTGTTCCATTTTCCCTGTCATTAACCTGGAACAGGCTTTGTTGCCTGTTGAAATACAGGCAAAGAGTCGCTAATGGACACCACAATCATGTGAACTCACATACAGTGCAATTGGCGTTGGACTCTCCAACATGGCAGCACTAACTGCCTTATTGTGTAGTCTTTAAAAGGCACTCTGTGCTTTGGGAGAATGACCAACTTATTGTCTGTGACTTACTTTTATTTCTATGCATAAAGAAAAATGTGTCTGAAGGTCTGATTATTGGCGTAATGAATAATGGAAGGTATTTGGGGGAGGCAGTACTAACGATAATCTGCACAAGTACTTTGTAACTCTGGCCCAGTCACTTAATAGAAAATGCAAAATGGGAATAAACATTTGAGAAACCAATTTAAAGAGACTTAGATTTAATAAATGATAGTCTAGCATGTCAATACTTTACAAGAAAGAAATGATTTATTAAAGCTGTTAGGTTAAATCAACTAACCATAAAGAACTGGACATGAAGCCCTAGCCAGTTTGGCTCAATGGATAGAGCGTCAGGCAAACATTGTCACAATTTAGCGGAGAGAAGAAAGTAGTTTACAAAGAAAAGGAAGATTCATGTAACTGTTGTGGGACTGGTCTGAATTTGGTGGATGCCGGTAATTTAAAAAAGCTGTGGTCGTTCTCTGCTGAAAGGCAATCTAAAAACTTTAAAGTTAAAAAGCCTACAGCCCTTTTCAGGGCATAGATGGATATCGGTACATAAGTTACCGTTATTCTGCTTCAGTTTTCTCCTAAGAGGGAGCTAAAGGTGCCCTACCTTCACGCCATGCAGGGGGGTCGGCCAAAATAAACAGTGATAAACCCTATCTGATCAAGCCCATCGGAAACAAACCTAATCATCTAACAAAGTTAGGTTCATTCACTTGCTGAAACAAGGGCGGCCACACCCCAGAGGAACAGGGGAGTCTAAAAAAAAAAAAGCCAGGGAAAGCACAGACTTGGAGAAGTGTAGGTAAGAATGAAGCAGACTCCAAGGTCCTGTATCCTTGACAACAACAAAGTTAAAATAAACATGGGGAGTTCCAGCTGCCAGCCTCTGTACAGGGAATGGAAAAGCGTCAAGATGATCCCCGCAGCTCACCTCCTCCAGGCAGGAGCGGGATGCTCCCTTCTCACTGGTAAGACTTCACCCCGCAGAGCTGCTGAAAGTTTTAGGGAACCAGGTCGCTCAGTCTATGTCCCTTTCACTAAACCAGAAAGAGCAGCTTTTACGGTCACAACGGGTATCCGTGTCGAAACCCACTTTTAACAAAATTCATCAGGAAAGCCATCTCCCTGGTGGTGGTGACCCCGGGTCCCTCCGGGTGGGGTAATGGCCTCTCTCATCCGCACCAACAGTAACACCACCACCGGCCTCGCGTGCTTGGATCACGAACCGGACCCGCTGCTAAACGTCTCCTTGAGCGTCATCTCCTTGGACACCGACAGGCAACCCCCGCGAAACCTACAGGCGAGAATCTGGCGCTGAGAAAGGAACACGACTGCGGAATCGGCTTATCCCGTAACTGACTGACTGCCATTCTGCCTTTCGGGTTAGCTGGGTGACTTGCCCCGTTTTGCAGGCATCCTCCCTCCATCCTCGGCGACCATCCATCCGTCCTGCTTCCTACGGGGTAGACCCTCAAACGCGGAGCTGGACCTCACACAGGACTTGGGGCTCGCCCCCGCGGTAACCGGTGACCAGGCACCTGCGCGCTCCCCGGGCTGTGCTGTTCTTCGGGCTCGGGAGTCGCCGGCCAGAACCAGGGTGGCTGCGTGGCTGGGTCCGCGAGGGTCCACCGAACCTCTGCCCGCCTCGACTCGAAAACAATCTGATCTCCACCCCAGCGGCCGTCAATCACCGCAGAGGCGGGACTTCCGGTGTCCCGCTGAGGCACTTCCGGCCAACACCGGAAGCTGCGCTGCGGCAGGTGCGCGCGCGCTAGGGGCCGCCGCCCGGACCACTGGGCTGTCGCGGGCAGGTGAGCGGAGCGGATGAGGCCCGTGGCCAGTGGTCACCCTGCAGTGCTTTTGGCCTTTCTTTCTTTCTTTTCCTAGAAATTTCCTAGAAACTCCCCAGCTTGCCCGAGTCCGGCGTCGCCTGCCCCCCGCGCGCGGGCCCGTGTGCGGATGTGGGAGTGCGGGTGCGGGTGTGCGCGGAGGTGCGGGGACCGGACCGGGCGGGGCGGGCCGCGCCGCCTGGCACGTCCGGCCGAAGCCGGTTGTCGTGTCACTTGGGAAGACGTGAAATTGGCCCCGGGGACTCGGTGTCCCGTTAGAGAAACAGCCTCGTCCTTCCAAGTCTTGTAGTATTGGTGATGGAGAAGTCATGTGAAGCGGGCGGAGAACAGTTAAAATGTTTGCGGAGCGCTTACTACCAACGGGGGGAAGGGGGGCTGTCCTAAGTGGGGGTGGACCCAGGTGGGGGGGGTGACGTCCCGGTTCCCAAAGACACCGCGGCCAGGGTTCCCCGGGGGCGGGGTTCCTGCACAGCCAGACAGACTGGGAGACCGACGGGCGCGCTTCCCTTCTGTCTGACATTCACGCTCGCTCGCAGCCAGGCAGGGGTGTTGGATAATCGCCTCTACTGGTTTCCTCTTTTTCGTTTTAACCTTTCTATGAAACAGTTTATCGCTGGGGATTCTTTAAAAAATCCTAGTACACAATCCCTGTCTTTTTTTTTTTTAATTGATTTGGGAGAGGGAGAGACAGGGACATCAGCGATGAGAGAGCAGCATCGATGGGCCTCTTTTCCACCTAATTAATACGCTTCTGATCTCATCTGCGTTCACGG